AAAAAAAAACCTATTCAAGAGCTCCTATTCTTGATGTCTTACGAAGTCAGAAAAAAAGAACTCTTAAAGAGCTCATATTTCTGATGTCTTGGAAAGTCCAAAAAAAGACCTCTTAAAAACAGCTCATTTTTTTGACCTCTTACGAAGTCGGAAAAAAGACTTCTCAAAGAGCTCATATCTGTGATGTCTTATAGAACTTAAAAAAAAAAACTTCTTAAAGACTTCTTAATTAAGAGTTCCGAAAAATGAGGTCTTTAAGACGTCATATTTGGAGCTCTCAAGGAAGTTTTTGAAAAGACATCTTTAAGAAATCCTTCTGACTTGGATGTTGTCTGGGATGATTTCAAATTAATATATTTGTCATTTAATTAACGACTATTTAAGTATAAAAATTAAAATACACAAGTTGATGAATCAAAAAAAGTGTCTAATACAAAAAAAAATTAGTCAGATTAATTTGAATACGGTTAAAAAATTCAAATGTTCGCCGTCACTCTTATAGTGTCAATAATGGGGGCTCTTACGTTATCAATTTCAAAAAAATTTATTTTATAAAATTTTTAACTATAAATTCAAGCTTATTAAGTAAAAAATTAAACGATTGTTTCGATGCAATAAAAATTTCTGGTGAAAAAAAAAAAAATTCCATTCAGCAGTGTTCAATAAAAAATTTCTGAGGAAAATTTTCCATAACCTATTAGTTAAAGTGCGACGTTAAAAATTCACACCGTGTGCGCAAAAACACATTTTTAAAACGTGCAATAATCAAAGAATCCGTTCTTATAAATACTGATACTGATTATTTACAAAAAATAAACGCTAGAATTTTTTTTTAAAGCATATTCACTCAGAAAACTCTTGACAGTAAGTCAATTTTTTACCCTAAGTTTACTTTTAAATTTTAGGTTAGACGTCTTCGAATATTCAGAGTTACATGTTTTTATTTTTTAATAAAATTTCATTCGCCGAAACAATTAAACATAAAAACTCTGAAAACAAAATCAATAGAGGTTTGTTTGTTAAAATTTATTTTTGTTCTTTTTTAATGTAATTTATAAAAAAAATAATGGAACTTACCTGGAAGCTTTTTAATTGTTTATGCGTTTCGGTAACTAAATTTTGTATCGCAGGATGCTGATTACTGACGGTAATAAATAAAATAGTAACTCCAACTAAACAAATTAGAAATAATAGCAGACATTTAGAGCGCATTGTTTACGTTACATTATATATCTAAAAAACCAGTCGTTTTCGGTATTTAATTTGTGTAAATTAACAGTTTCCGACTAAGCGACATGTCTAACCCATTATTGATATGTATTTATTAGTGCGCACGGAGTTTTTGTCGCGATTAGAGCAAATCACATTGTTTTGCAAATTTTAAGTGATTAAAGTATCGCGTATTTTTCATTGCTTCTAATCTAACCTTGAAACGTCAAAGTGACAGGATTTATTTAGTTGTCTTTTGTTTTTTTGCTGTGCATTCACTCTATAGGTTAGCGAGAAATTTTATTGATCTTTTGTTGGTAAGTTTCGTTTGCGCACGCGCCGATTTAAAATCGCGAAGCGGCAAAATTTAAAATTTTATTATATAAGTAAGTAATAAGAGTAATAAGTTTTTACACTAACTAACTTATAAATTGATTGATTTAAAATTTTTAACAATAGTTTTAGAAATTGCTGACAGGTGGCTTTGATTATTATTTATCTAATGAATAGTTTAGTTTTTTTTGGTGGTATAAAAACTGATTATAAATCGCAAGTAGTAAAAGTGATAAAAAAAAGTTTTTTGTTTGTCTAAAAACATGACCGGACAACCCAAGAAAAAAGGTAAGTGATTTTTGTTACTGATAAAATTAAGTAAATTATTTTTATTTTAAAAAAAAAACATCTTAAAAATTGTATAAATTTTTTTTTTTAATAATTTATAATTCATTGTTTATAAAATAATTTCAATATTAACTATTTGAAGATTCTTTACGTCATACAGTGAGAAAAAATTCGGAAAACGGTTGATCCTAAAGGCCATCCCTGCAACTTCCCGCTAATTCCATATCTAGGCGCTTAAAATTGCACTTATAACGTTTTTGAGCTCTTCGAGCTCAAAAATCAAATTTATATGTTACTAGCTGTTACTTGCCCGCTCCGCTGTGCGCTTTATAAAATTACATTTTTAGATCTAACTTGAAATTTAATTAGAGTATTGTTTTGACTTGCACAGATTCCCAATTCTATATCGAATTGGCATGCACCTTTTATCCATGCAATTATTCTAGCTAATATTAATTGTAACTTTCAATGTGCAATCATTATAACATTCCCGTGTCTTTCTTACAAAAATGAATAATAATTGATATGAAAAAACAAAATTTGTAATGAGCATTGAAAGTTTCAGTTAAAGAAATTGCAGGTCTCGTAAGTGAAGAAATCTGCCTAGTATATAAACATAACCAAAAGAATTAAAAAATTTATTTTTAACAAATGACAATCGAATAGAATACACTTAGTTACAATAAAAATTCATTATTTTTAAGTCAAAAAAATATAGGTTCCGGATAAGTAATCACCAACATATCATATACTAAAACCTTGTCCGAAACACGCTGCATTTTATGGTATAAGTATTATTCCGATCGGTTGAGTAGCTTTCGCAGTATAACCGGACAAAAAAACCGGCTCTCCATTTATTAGTATAGATTTTGAGCTCTCCGAGCTCAAAGAGGTAACTTTTCTTTGCTTTATGAGCGATTGGCGGCATTCGAAGCAGCTTTTTAAGCCTCATAAAAAATCTTTGAGTTTAAATTGATCAAACTGGAAATTTTAGAGTTATTCCGAAAAAAAACACTTTTTTCGGTTTTCTTTCCTTCACGATAGCTCACGAATGAATCAACCGATTTTGACCGGCTTGGCAGCGATCGAGGTGGTTTTTTTATGATAAAAGCTGATTAGTTTTTGGAACTGATCGGTAAAGCCGTTTAAAAGTTATTCTAAAAAAACCTCATTTGAAAAAAATTTTTTTTGTAGTTTTTTTGAGATTTTGCAAAATCTACTGGTCCAAATTGTATTCAAAATCTAAGCTTGGCCAAGTCCTTTCGAATAGTGTGCCAACCACGATGAAATCGGTCAAACTGTTCAAAAGTTATTGGAGGTTTACAAACTTACACACACAAACGCACACATACATACAGACATAGTGACACCCTCGCGAGAGTAGTCAGGGAAGCTTCCTAGGACTTCAGAACGTCGAGATCTGATGAGAATTCGATTTTTGTAAAACGGGATAAATCCAATAACTTCCCGATTTAAAAAAATTTTCAATTTTCTTGGCGGGAAGTTAAAAAAAATTTATTTAAAAAAAAATAACCAATGTAATAAGAAATTAATTTGTTAAAAATTTTTAATTTTTCAACTAAGAAATAAATTTTTTTTTTTTAATTTCAACAAATTAATTACTCGTCAGAATCTTGCTCATTTTTTTCAAAAGAAAGTTTTCCTCTCAATGTATAGAAAGTTTTCTGTGCTTATTTGAATTATTATTTTTTATAGAAATGATGATTCTTTATTTCGTGTTAAATATAACTAAGATTGAACTTTAATATTTTCAAGTCATACCATGAGTTATTAGAAACCATTTTCGTGTGGGTATAGAATGTACTCTATGGGTTTAAAAATATAAACCCATCGGATCGCTTTCACATACACAAGAATAATATTTGACTTCAACAAATTATTTTTATCGACAAATTTTATTTATTTTTATTTGTTAATTTTTATTTTAATACTTTTTAATCGAAAATAAACTAAATTTTCCTAAAATTTAATATACTTAGATTTGAATTGATTCAAATTCCGTTCAATATTTTTGAGTAGATTTTGATAATTAACTTTTAACGAACTGTAAATAATACTTCTTCGGTATCATATAATATAATGTGAATTCCTGTTTATTAATTTTGACAGTTCTTAATTATTTAATCTCAAAACAAAAACAATTTCGGCGCTTATTGCATAATAAATACTTTGCAAGTTTGATCTGATCAAATTTTTTCATACACTCAGATACGAAAAAATTGCAATTTAAAAATAAAAAATTTTATTGAATTGACTACCATCAATGGTAAGTCTTGGTACTTAAAGAGATCTTTTTCCCAAAGAAGATATTATATTTAATTATTTATTTATTGATTTAATAACGCATTAACAATTTACAGTCTTTAATATTTAATTCAAAATTAACTGCAAGGCGATTGGTATAATTTTTTTCTGCAAGAACACGAAAAAATAAGCAAATTAAAAAACAAATCGTGAAATTACACAATAAAAAATTTTACGCATGGCATTAAAAAAAATTTAACACGTTTTTATGCTTATTTAAGAGAATTATAAAAGTGTTAAATATTTCAGAAATTTTTTTTGATACAAAAATTTTTTTTGTTTATAATTTTGGGTGCAGTTGCAACTCATGAATAAGACCTTGTCAACTTTACATAATTGTAAAAATTGACAGATTGACGGTTTGTTTTCGATAATTATTAAGAATAAATATTTGCGTGTTAAGAAAATTTTACTCAGAAAAATTTTTTTCTCAGTGTTTAATTATACATGATTATATTGAAAAATAAATAATTCTACAACATTTTCAAATGTTTTCAAACTAAATATGAATTAAATCGAAAATTACAAATTTTCAAACTATTACATTGAACCTGAAATACCTGTCATAACTTTATATAAATGTTTACTTTTGAATTATCGATCAATAATAAATCAATAAATAGTAAAAGAAAATAAAGTAGAAAAATTTATATTTATTATATTATAATCATATTCAAATCCGCAACAAGTCTATGAAGCCAAGATTTTTGTCAAAAATCAGAGGTAATGCTTATCTATAGGTAATAAAGAGTCTTAAAATAGTCTTAGTTTGTGTCACGTTTAAGATCTTAAACGAACGACAATTTTAAGACAATTTTAAGACGATTTTTTTTTACACGGGATATGTCACAAAAAAAATTTTTAAATAAAATTTTTTAAAGTAAAAAATAAAAATTATTCGCCATAATTACAAAAAATTTTTTATCGAAAGCAAAAAAAATTTTTTTTTTCAAAAACTTCACAAATTGTGCTCTCAAGAAAAATCTTCTTTATCAACCCAGTCAGTTTGAAAAATGGTCATAAACACGCACACTTACAGACAATATCATCATCGTATAAGTTTAAACAGGCTTAGCCTCCTACCACTCCACCACTTGCCGGGTTGTATTGTACTTATACGCAGCATGTTGAACATCGTATATTGTATATCAGTTCAGTCTAATACGACAACTCGTAGAGTGACTTAGTGTCGCTGATTATCAGTTTTAGTTCGTGCTCGTGTTTCTATATCGTGCAATGTAATGTGTTCACACAGTTTGCTCATCAGCTCCATATCCATTTATATACATATACATACATACAATACATTACCATCTCAAACTCAAGATAATGTCTTCCCGTAGCTCCAATATCAACGCCCTCTAACACGCTAATGTTTAATCGGTCCGTTCTATTTATCACCACCGATTAAGCGCTTTTCATCATTAATTTTTAATTGCAAGTAAGTATACTAAATATCGCAAGCGATACATTTAAAAAAAAAATTCTAAAATTGTCAACAATCTTTTTAAATTTTTATTTTTGAAATTTAAAAGTAGAAAGTCTTCTTTGTTAGAATGCCAGGGGATGCTTTTTAAACAGACAAATAACTTCCCCCTATCGGGATTTACCCGCATGTGCTTACTGACTGACCTGTTCTAGGCTGAGACACAATAAAGAAAGAGGAAAAAAAAAAACAGGCTTTAAATAAAATTATTTTAAGCAAGGCCGTGAAAATTGGTCTCAGTTAATTTTAAGATTAGAAATCTTAATCTTAAGAGTCGACTATCCCATACAAAGTTGCCGATACTCAACAATTTCCGTTCATTGGCCAAGGCACGGCTGCTAATGCTCGGCCAAGTATCGGAGTTTTGTATCGGCCTAGTCTCGGTAAACCATCGGCTTTAATGTTCGGCCAAGCATTGGCGTTTTGTACTGGCCGAGTCTAGGTAAGCTATTGGCTACCGCATGATATTTATTATAACATAATGGTATGTGATTTGATTATCAGCCATTGCTTGGCCGATGCTCTGGCTAATTGTTTATTACACTTGAAAACAATTAATACGTGTTAGTCA